CTTGTGCTTGCGCGGCAGGCACCAGAACCACTGAGCTAAATCCCCAGCCCCCAAATCTATATCTTGAGAGCAAACTGGTGCTTTGAGCTGAGACCTTGGTATGAAGAATGTGTAAGCATCCCCATCAAAGACTGCCCAGAATTGTTCTCCCTGGCCTGGGGGCAAAGTTAGGCTACTACTCCTCTTCCTTACCCAATCCCCATTTGCCAGAACCCTTTTCCATCCTACATGGGTTTTTTTCTTGCTTTTTTAAAAAAAAAAATTACTAGTACATGTTTGCAGTACATAATGGTTACATTCATCACAGGGAGTTGAGATATCACATCTTAATTCTTTTTCCATCTTACTTGTGTCTCTAACACAATCTACCTCATTACACTGGCACCAAGCCATAGGGCAGGGTCCTGGAATTCAGTTCTCCTTTCAACCTGCACAGTCAACAGGAGCTACAGAAGCAAGGAAAGGAAGGCTCTTTGTTAGTTATTGTGTGATAAGCTTAAATCAGAGTCCCACTCTGTGCTTGTTAGAATCATTACCCATTGTGGCAGCTACTTTTTCATTCCCAGTAAAGATAAGCTTAGACCCTGAGAGCTGTCTAGGTGCATCACTCTCTCTGCCTCACCTGTATAGTGTGCAAAGCATTTTGGTAGCATGATTTGCATGTTAGAGCAGGGCTCCTGACACAGGTTCCCTGTGGGTCAGTTTCCCATGCTTTTCCACTTTTCACTTTCAATTCTCATCTCACAAGTCATTGAAGGGGCTAACATATAATAGCTTTTGGAGAAACTGAAAGAAATGAAATATTACTAGCAAAACTATCAAATATTTGGACAGTCAAAATCTGGATCCCTTTAGGAGGATCCTTATAGATGAATACTCTCTACTGCAACGGCATCACAGTTCCACTGAAGGCAGCTTCCCGAGCACATCTTCATAGCAGCTGTTACTCCTGGAATTCACATGCCAGTCTTTCTGTTTTTTTTTTTTTTTAAATATATCAGTATTGTGGTTTGATTCATTTTTGATACTTATGAGAACAGAATAATCAATTAGGTGGTTTGAGCCTGTATGTGGCAGGGGTTTAGCAGCAGCATTGCCAATTTAGTTTATAAACTTCTATGGTTCAGAAGATCAAAGGGGAAGACTTATAATGTAGCCTTGATGTCTTAATCCAGCACATGGAATTCAGAGCAATGGCCAGGGACATTTTGGATATGTCAATTGCTGTTAGATCATATGCTTGGGAACCAAAGAAATAAAAAGGACATATAAAGAAGGGTAGCAAATTAAAGAAAAATGTGAGTTAATACCAAAATGTGATGGAGAATAAAATGGAGGTCATAATTGTATCCTTCCTTTTTTTTTCATAATTATATTCTTCTAATCAGAGTTTTATTGAGGTGAAGCTGTTTCTGAATTTTCAAGCTTCCTGCTGAGCTAAATTACAAAAATAAGTTTCTATGAGGAGAAAATGTGATATATATATATATATATATTTTTTTTTGTACCGGGGATCGAACTTGGGTCCTTGCACTTGTGAGGCAGGTGGTAGAACCACTGAGCTAAATCCCCAGCCCTCTGCAATATATTAATACAGTAGTCACTGTAACTTTACATAAGAAGTCTGAAAGAGTGTATTTTCTCCAGGCCCTGTGATCACAGTTATATACTGTTACACAGACATATTTTATGCTATCCTCTAGTTTTCTCACAGTCATATGTGGGTTAATGACAGGGACATATTCTGAGAAATGCATCACTAGGCAATTGTCACCCTCATATGAACATCATGGAGCAGACTTCATGAACCTAGATAGAATAGGTCGATAACTCAAGGTGGCCTCTTAAAGCAAAAAAAGAAATGTGGAAAGCATGAGATGCATGAGGCAGCTGCCAGTATTCATGTCATACTGATTTACAGTAATCTTTTTCTTAGTACACTCCAAGATAACAATTAGAAGCAATACTGAATAGTTTCTCTAGTGTAAGAAACTGAAAGTGTAAATAAGGACTAAAATATATAATAGGTAATGTGAAATAGGAAGAAAAGGGGCAAGGGGGAAGGGGAAGTAGGAGGGGTAGGGGAAAGGAAAGAAGGGAATGGAATTAATATGAGAAAATGGAAAAATGGAAACAAAGTCTTTGTAAATAGGGAGGGATGGAGGGGTTGAAGGGAGGGCAGGGGAAGGGGGAAAAATAAGAACCAAG